AGCCAGACCCCACGTAACCAGTCAGTGTGCGTCTCAGCTCCATCGGCTTCACACCACGTGTGCCCAGGATCGATAGAGGAAGAGGGATTGCCCGTGACCAGGCCCCCAATGGTGCTTTCTCTTTCTGCCTCCCTCCCCTGCCGCAGACATGTGCATGCATGGCCCTCTGACAAGAGAAAGAAATCCAACTTGTCCCCTTCAAGAGCTCCTCCCACCCAATGTGACCTCTGTGGTCCTCCCCCTGCCTGGCAACCCACCATTGAGCATTACAGTGGGGGCCTTTCAAACAGGGCATGGGGGAAGAGCTAGGCGGAAGGGGATTGGGGGGCACACCCGGCAGCCTGCCCCATCTCCCTGAGCCCTGGTGCTCCATCACAGGACGGCCCTCACTTAGCATCTTGGCCCTCCTCATCGAACACCACGATCTCGTCCACACAGAAGATGGCACAGGCTCTGGCGATCTGGCCGGCCAGGTAAGTACGAAGCTCGGGCGACTGGGCGTTGTCCAGGATGGATCCTGGCAGAGCCACGCTCAGGGTGTAGGGTCGCCCTGGACAGATGAAAGGTAAATAAACACACCTTTTTAAAAAGTTGAAACAAAAGAAGTCACACGGTTCTGGAGATACAAAGAGGTACGATGCTTACCCCACTCATAGGTTCGAAGTCTACCCAAGCAGGAGGTTAGAACTCAAGCCGGTTGGACCCTTCCCCTTCAGACCTCAGCTTCTCCATGAGGACAGGATGTTTGGACCCAGTAGGCTCTAAGGGTCCCTCACAGGGTTTTCTCTGCTCTATGGGTAGGACAGTGCTGCAGGCCACACCTGCACCCTCCCAGGACCTGGCCTGCTCACCCTGATCCTCACCTCTGTGCAGCCTCCGCCTCCTCCCAGACCCCAGCCTGCTCACCCTGGTCCTGCCTCTCTGCAGCCTCTGCCTCCTTCCAGAACCCAGCCTGCTCACCCTGGTCCTGCCTCTCTGCAGCCGCCGCCTCCTCCTCCTGCTGCTGCTTTGCCTGTTCCTCTTGTGCCCGCTGCCGCTCCAGTTTTTTCATCAGTTTGAGATCTTTCCACTTCTTTTTCTCCT